ATGGGAGAAACTTTCTGCAAACTATTCAACTGATAAAGAATTAACAACCAAAATATCAAGAAACTCCACAATAACCCCAGTGGAAAGAACGGGGCCATCAAAGAAGGAGGTACCTTTCTCTGAAGGGAGGAGAGAACGTCCACTTTGACTATGACCCTGTCGGAACAAGATCAAGTCGGCGAACTCAAAAGGCTTCCATAGCCTTGGCAACTCATGACTAGAGCCTAGGGAGATTACTGACGCCATAAACAAGAGTGTCAAATTGTTAAGTCAACAACAGGAGTCACTGTGTACTTACTTCTCATGTGGGATCTGTCTTTAGTGTGCTGTCCAATTTGAAGTAATGCTATAACTAGTATTGAAACAGTATTTTATACTTTGTGTTTCTGTGTGGGTGCAAACTGATGAAATCTTTACTTAATATATACTAAATCGATCTTCTGTATATAAAGATAATTGAAAATGAATCTTGATGTGAATGGAATGGGAGAGGGAGCGGAAGATGGGAGGGGTGTGAGTGGGAGGGAAATTATAGGTGGGGGGAAGCCATTGTAATCCATTAACTGTACTTTGGAAATTTATATTTACTAAATCAAAAAATGCTAAAAAAAAAAAAAACTCCACAATAACAAAACAAACAACCCAGTGAAGAAATGGGCAAAGGACATAAACAGACATTTTTCAAAAGAGGAAAATCCATATGACCAACAAATACATGAAAAAAATGTTCAGGATCACTAGCAATCAGGGAAATGCAAATCAAAACCATAATGTGGTCCCACCTCACCCCAGTTAGAAGCCCTTCAAACAACAAATGCTGGCAAGGATGTGGGGGAAAAGGTACCCTAATCTGCTGTTGGTGGGAATGTAAACTGGTAAAGCACTATGGAAGACAGTATAGAGATACCTCAGAAATCTGAATATAGACCTACCATATGACCCAGCTATGCCACTCATGGGAATTTACCCAAGGGAAATGAAATCAACATATGAGTTATCTGTACCCCCATGCTTATTGCAGCTCAATTCACGATAGCTAAGACATGGTATCAACCCAAATGCCCATCAACTGCAGACTAGATAAAGAAATTATGGGATACACTATAAAATATTACACAGTGGTTTAAAAAGTGAAATTAGGTCATTTGCAACAAAATTTATGAATCTGAAAACATCATACTTAGTGCAGTAAGCCAATCCCAAAGGGACAAATACCACATGTTCTCCCTGACCTGCGATAACTAATAAAGCACCTAAAAGGCAATCTGTAGAAGAGAAATTGACGGTTTGAGAAGCAATGACTTGAACAGCACTTGTCTTGACTGTTGAGGAACAGTTTTTTAATACTATTTATTGAACTCTTTATTTAACATAAACATATGTGTATAAAGTCAATTGAAAAGAGATCTTAGTAAAAATTAAGAGTGGGAATAAGAGGGAGGAGGAAGAGAGATTGGGAGTATGGGTGGGAAGATGGCACGGTGGGAAGAATCACCATGTTCCTCAAGTTGTAATTATAAATTGTATGAATGTAACTGTAACTGTAAAGCTGTATAGTTCTGTATACATTCCTTCAGACTTACTTCTAAGGGTACAGTTTAAAAACTTGCCATGGGACCCCAAACCCCCTTAAGCTGGGTGATAAAAATGCCATCTGTAAAGTAATCATATGGATAGGATTAAGGATCTGGTAATAATAATAAGTAGAATTAAAAAGGAGTGAATGCTCCAACATGGGAAGCAGTCCACACAGCAGACTCACAGAATGATAATCACTCTAGTCCCGGTTGGGGCGCCAGATTCTTTCCCGGTTGCCCCTCTTCCAGGCCAGCTCTCTGCTGTGGCCCGGGAGTGCAGTGGAGGATGGGCCAAGTGCTTGGGCCCTGCACCCCATGGGAGACCAGGAGAAGCACCTGGCTCCTGCCTTCGGATCAGCACAGTGTGCCGGCTGCAGCACGCCAGCCGTGGCGGCCATTGGAGGGTGAACCAACGGCAAAGGGAAGACCTTTCTCTTTGTCTCTCTCTCTCACTATCCACTCTGCCTGTCAAAAAAAAAAAAAAAAAAAAAAGAATGATAACCACTTTAATAGCACTTTGACCTCAGAATGAGCCCTTACGGCATTCTAGTCTGCCTGAAAAGCCCACGAGAGCATTTCAGGCATGGAAAGACAAGACACTGTGGCAAAAAATATTCTACATGAAGGACCTCAGTGGGTGAGACCCCAGCGGAAAGTGGTCATCAAAGAAGGAAGTATCCCATATGGGTACCAGTTCGAGTCCCTGCTGCTCCACTTCCAATCCAGCTCTCTGCTATGGCCTGGGAAAGCAGTAGAGGATGGCCCAAGTCCTTGGGCCCCTGCACCTGTGTGGGAGACCCAGAAGAAGCTTCTGGCTCCTGGCTTCAGATCGGCACATCTCTGGCCATTGCGGCCAATTGGAGAGTCAACCAGCGGATGGAAGACCTTTCTCTCTCTCTGCCTCTCCTTCTCTCTCTGTGTAACTCTGACTTTCAAATAAAGAAATTAATCTTCTAAAAAAAAGTTTTGGCTGGCGCCACAGCTCAATAGACTAATCCTCCACCTGTGGCGCCAGCACACCAGGTTCTTGTCCTGGTCGGGGCGCCAGATTCTGTCCCGGTTGCTCCTCTTCCAGTCCAGCTCTCAGCTGTGGCCTGGGAGTACAGTAGAAGATGGCCCAAGTCCTCGGGTCCTGCACCCACATGGGAGACCAGGAGAAGCACCTGGCTCCTGGCTTTGGATCAGCATAGTGCACCAGCCACAGCATGCCAGCCACAGTGGCCATTGGGGGGTGAACCAATAGGAAAGGAAGACCTTTCTCTCTGTCTCTCTCTCTCTCTCTCACTGTCCACTCTGCCTGTCAAAAAAAAAAAAGTTTTATTTATTTATTTTAAAGTCAGAGTAAGAGAGAGAGAGAGGGGGAGAGACAGAGATCTTCCATCTGCTGCTTTACTCCCCAAGATGGCCACAATGGCCAGGGCTGGGCCAAGCCAAAGCCAGGAGCCAGGAGTCACTCTCCTTGGTAATTATCTCTGGAGTATAGCACACACACACTCCTATCTACTGTTTTCAATTGTATTTTCCCTGAAAGCAGAGCCAGATTCAAGGACTTGGGTGCTGGTTTATCTATCTCAGAGGTGCTCACAAGAGGTAGAAGTAAGGGAGTGAGAAAAATGAAACAGGAGGGAGGCAGGCCAATAAAGTGTGCACTAATATGTAGCAATGGCTGTGGAACCACTGGGGACTCTGAGACCAAGCAGGACATATCTCAGAACTGCCCCACAAAGGCACAGAAAGGCTACAGAAATGGGTTTCCAACTCCCATCCCTCAAGTCTGCCTTAGTAGCATCAGCTCTCCTGCACATCAGGTGCACCTGCAAGTAGACCATGCAGTGTTCCATAGCATCAACATAATCCTGCAGCTGGAAAGCAGAGACCCCAGGGCACAGGCATGATGTGAGTGGCTGGCAATGGAAGTGTGCTCGGAACAATGAGAAATCAGGAGGTGATGCTGGGAACCATGGGAAATCAGGAGGTAACACTGGGAACCATGGGAAATCAGGAGGTGATGCTGAGAACCATAGGAAATCAGGAAGTCACGCTGGGAAGCATAGGAATAAGGAGGTGACTCTAGGAACCATAGAAATCAGGTGGTGATGATGGGAACCATGAGGAATCAGGAGCTGATGCTGGGAACCATGGGAAATCAGGAGGTGACGCTGGGAACCATGGGAAATCAGGAGGTGACGCTGCAAACCATGGGAAATCAGGAGGTAACACTGGGAACCATGAGGAATCAGGAGGTGATGCTGGGAACCATGAGAAATGAGGAGGTGACACTGGGAACCATGGGAAATCAGGAGGTGACGCTGGGAACCATGGGAAATCAGGAGGTGACGCTGGGAACCATGAGGAATCAGGAGGTGACGCTTGGAACCATGGGAAATCAGGAGGTGACGCTGGGAACCATGAGGAATCAGGAGGTGATGCTGGGAACCATGGGAAATCAGGAGGTGATTGCAGAGACTAGTGTATGGCCCCACAAGATGCTGCTAAACCTTCCTTTTCCAAACTCGGTAAACAGGAAGGCATGACTTTGCTGGCAGAATGAACCAGAACAGCCACTCCCCGTTCACTGCCTCTTTCCCCTCCTCAGACCCCTTGCTCTCTGCAGTACTCCTCTCTCACCCTCACCCCCACCCCGATTCCCCCACAAAGACTTCAGGGTTGAGTCAGGTGCGGGGACCACCCAGAGGTCAGAAGAAGCCTTGATGGGGTGAGGACCAGTCACAGAGGGAACAAGATGCACGGTGAGCTGAGCTGAGAGTGGTCGAAGCCCACGATGAGGCTGCGGGCTCACCGCACTGCTTACTTCCTCTTCTGCTCTCTGTGTTTGAAATGCTCCATAACAGAGAGTGAAAATCTGCTCTGGCCCTGGAAGTCCTGGAGGCTCATGGCCGGCTCTCCCTCAGGGAAGCTGCAAGGAGTGTCTAGGCACAAGGAGTGATTGGCCGACAGGGCTCACCTCAGCTTCCAAGCCGAGTCTCACTGAGACGTCCTGGACTGCCCGCCGACGACCAAGAACAACTTGGGCATTAGGGCCTGGCTGTTTCTGCCCAATGGGGACTCCTTAGTGGGAAGTTCTTGCTCTGGAGCTCCCAGCAAGGTGGGTGGGGGCCTTGTCAGCCCCGCATTGCAGTCTGGGGGTGGGGCTTTTCCTGTTCCTTTCGGCTTCCTGCCCCTCTTCCCTTCACAGTGGTCACTTCTGCATTGCACCTTGAAGTCTCCCCTCTCTGACCCCACTTCTGCCACCTTCACCCATTCCCAGCTGTGGCTCCTCTAGAAACTGCTGGCCCTTGCGACTCCAGCTGGATGACTCAACCCAAAGGACCTAAATTGACACAACTGAGGTGCAGGTCGCTTCTCTCCCCACACCCTGCCAATCCCTCCTGCAAATCTCGGAAAATAACCAACACCAGAGAGTTACAAACACCGTGGTATATTTTAAATACACACAATAAATTAACATTTTTCACACCAAAAAAATATAATGATCATGGATGAGGGCATTTCAAAAACTCTGCAGAAAGTAAGTAATTAGACGACAGCGTAATGGCAGGCAAATTTAGCCTGCTGGTTAAGACACCGTTGTCCCACACCAGAGGGCCTGAGTTAAATTCCTGGCTCCAGCTTCCCACCAATGTAGAGCTTTGGAGACAGCAGTGAGGACTCAAGTAATTGGGTTCCTGCCACCCACTGGGAGGCCTGGATTGAGTTTCCAGAGCCTGGCTTTAGCCCAAGCCAATCCCAGCCATTGTAGGCATTTGGGGAATGAACCAATAAATGGGAGTTCTCTGTCTCTCTCTCTCTCTCCCCACTCCCACCCCCACCCCGATTTCTTTCAATTAGATAAATGATTTTCAATCAACCTTTCAAATCCTCCTAGTGCACAACCTGATTTTAGAGATAATATCAAAACTTCAGTTGGTGGTCCTGTGGGCACACGAGGTTCCAGCCCACTGGCCCCCTTTTCCTCCCACTCATGAACAGGCCCTGTCAGGGTCACAAACATTCCAAGGTTGCCCCCACACTGGGGTTGGCAGCCTCTCAAGCTCTCCCAGAGCACCCTAACTCCATCACCAGGTCACTGCCCTGTGCTGGCACTGCCTCGTGGGTGTCCTTCCACCCACCTCCGCTTGTACCCCAGCTCAGGACTGAGAGAGCTGGAGAACTCACACCTAGTAGACACCCAGTAACTGAAATCGGATCGACCCTTGCATGATTAAGGCTTACGTGCCCCTCCCCCCCAAAAAAACCCTATAGGGTTCATCTCTACAGTGTTCCTTACAAAAGTTTCAAGAAAAAAGACCAAGTGACTACTTCCATTGGAGCGCACATGGAGACGGAGAAAAGAAACCACGCGGAGGTCCTGTTCTAACCGTTTCTCAAGCTCTGGGGCCTGGGGACCGAGCCAGCAGCCCTGGCTCTTGGGTTCAGGACCTCCGACAGGCAGGGAGGGGAGAGATCACACACATCCCCTGCGCTGCTTCTTTCCAGAGCCAACACCTCCTGCTCGCTGGTACAGACAAGAGGCTCAGAAGCCTGTTCTGCTGGTATGGGACCCAAGAGGGCCCCAGCCAGGTGACAAGGCTGGCTCGCGAGACACCAGACAAGGGGAGAGATCACCAGCCAGCGACCCTGGATTGGCCAGAGCTCCAAGGACTGTTGCCAAACGTCTCTGGGAGCTTCGAGCGAGATAAGGGCTTCGGTTTCTCTCTCTGGTCCAAGTCCTGGGAAATATCTTCCAAGGACGAGATCTCCAGGTCACTCTCATCTTCAGAAAACTGCACAGGGGAAGGGGGAGAAGAAAATACATTTTGCTAAGGGAGGCCAGTGCTGTGGCACAGCGGGTTAAAGCCCGGGTCTGCAGTGCCAGCATCCCATATGGGCACCGGTTCTAGTCCCGGCTGCTCCACTTCCAATCCAGCTCTCTGCTGTGGCCTGGGAAAGCAGTGGGAGACCTAGAAGACCCGCATGGGAGACCTGGAAGAAGCTCCAGCCATTGCAGCCATCTAGGGAGTGAACCAGCGGATGGAAGACCTTTCTCTCTCTCTCTCTCTCTCTCTCCCTCTCTCTCTCTTTTTCTCTCTCTGCCTTTCTGTAATTGTGGCTTTCAAATAAATAAATAAATCTTAAAAAAAGAAAAATAAATAAATAAGACCACAATGGGGCAGCCCCCTTAGCTTGGCCTCTGATGAGGGCAGCAGTGGAGCCTGGGGCACAGGGGGAGCCAGGAGATAGACAGCGCTGGGCCCAACCCAGGCTTTGATCCAAACTTTCCACCGGAACTGCCTCTGAGGGCGCTCCCGCAACAGCCTAAGGCCCTCCCCCAAGGCCCATCTTCCAAACACCATCGTTAGGCTATCTCTGCCCTCTGAATAGCAGTACCTGATAAACTGGGAGTTCAGAGTGCCCCCTGAGCGCAGGAGCCGAAGCACGCTCAGGCCACGGCACCTCCCTCGGGGGAGTCTGCCCTACACCCAGCCTAGTGCTGGGCTCCCAGGCAGAGCGAGGACTGGGGAGTAGGCAGAGTGGGAGGAGGGCAGCCACTGCCGGAAGCCAGCCGGGCAATTTCCAGGCTCTCCCAGAGGCAGAGATACGAGTACCAAACCTACCAAGCAGTTTCCATGATGAACCAGAAGGCTCTGACGTCAACACGCACACAACAAGCATTCCCAAGTGGCCGTCTCTGTCTGTGCGCATGCAGGGGGGGGGGAGGAGACGGGGGCACCTGCAGGTGTCGGCCCCTCCCCAGCCCCCGCCCCATGCCGCCCAGGACTCTGTGGGGAATGACAGGGAACCCCGAGTGTCCTGCAGCCTACCTGGGCCTTCCTTCCTGCCGGGGCCGCTCCCCGTGGGCCAGTGCTCGGCCTTGAGAACAGACTAACCCCTCCTGAGGGCTTCTTCACGGGCGTCTCCAGCTGCTTCTCGAGATTCCGGACCATGGACTGCACGAGGGTTTCTGGAAGGCGGACAAGCGGCCCTGTCAGGGGGAAAGCCCAGAAAAGGAACGGTCCTGGGGGCGGGGGGGGCATGTCCAGGTTCCAGGTGCACAGAGGACGTGTGCAGAGGACAGGAGGGAGAAGGCAGGGCAACCACAGAGAAGAGGAGTAAGAGACAGAGAAGTTCCGGGCCAGCGTGCGCCCTGAGTGAGCAGAGGCCTGGAATAAGCTGCATGTTCTTTAGTTCAGTCTTAGCTAGAAAATGCAGCTGAGACGGCGGTGAGCCATTCTGTAAGAAAACCTTGAAAGAGTGGGAGTAGGCATGGTCATTTTGGGAAGAAAAATGCTCAATGAGCCACTGTGGGCTGTTAGGAAATGTCACGTTTCAGGAATATTTGCATCCCAAGTCCCATCATGCTTGGCATAAGTCTCCACGATGCCCTTTCCACGCACAAGGTGAATTTCGAAGTCTACTTGCTGAACAGGTCAAAGAGCTTTCCTGTAAGACTAATAGGATCCCCTGGGGTCCACGGGTCGCTGGCAGGGACTGGAGGCTGCCCACCGCAACCGAGTGTGGCTGCCCGGGCCATCACAAGATTCGCTAGGAAAGCACATTTCTTACTACTCTTTCGATACAAAAACACATACTTGTTAGACTACTCGTGTTTGTTAAAAGGCTCACTGTTGGCACCCCGTCTGCCCTTAGATCTTTCTCCCTGGGTTTGCCTGGAGGCTGCTTTCACTCTTCTGACCTCCCACACCCACGCTGCTGCGCAAGAACCCAGGCAGCATAAGAGACTGGAGCTGGTTTCACGATGAGCACAGCCAGCCCAAAGCAGTCGTCCCCGAAAAAAACCCTTTTACTTTTTCAAGTAAATAAATAGTGACTCCACCCCGCTTACTTCAGGGACATAAAAGAGAACCTCGGTTGGCTGCGACACCAGCTCTGTGATTGGGAACTAGCCACCACGCCTCAGAGGCATGGACCCCACATATCCCTCCACTTACACCAGGTTACACCTGGCACAGCCACCGCAAGCTGCAAATACTGCTGTTGAAAGATCATGTCACACGGCTCACTTCGCCAACGCCACTGTAACTTAGCCTGGTCCACCGTGAGTGCACCCAGAGCACGGGGCCGGGGGTGGGGTCAGGGGGTGGGAGGTTAGCCATAGCGGCACCAAAATCCCTAGGCAAAGCCCACCTCCCATCGAAACGGCTGACTGCCCTGTAAAATGCAGCACTGACAGTGAAGTCACAGTGCTCGGGTGGACACACTCTCACACCCCAGGGAGCACAGGAGTCCCAAGTCCAACCATGGCAAGGCAGGGACTGTGTATAACACAGCCTTCTTAGGAGCGAGGAGGGGCTCAGGGCAAAACGGCCACACAGAGCAGAGCCCGTGGTGAGCACCCACACAGAGAACACTCCACCTAGGGCGCATCCAAGAGGGAACTCTGCTCCACCACCGGCAGGAGCAAGACCAGGAGGGACACCCCCGTCTCCTCCCCACAGAAGTGGCCCAGCACAGGGCTAGGAGGGCAGCAGCCCTGGTCTCACCTGGAGGCAGCCTCTCTCTCTGACTTCTCCCTAGGACTGTGTTAGCAAGGCGCTGGAACATTCCCACTGCTGCTACTTTAAGATCCCCCCACTCTCAGGGTCTGCTTTGCTGACCCGACCCCATGCACAAGTACAGGGTCTGATCTGGGGAGGCTGCAGGGGCCGGCGCTTTGGCCTCCAGTGCTGGTCTTGTCTCCAAGGGAGGCTGCACTGGCAGCAATCCTGGGCCCCACGGCCTCTGAACAGAACGAGGCTGCTCTCTGCCCATTCCCCTACCCCCACCCTACTCTGGCCACAGTCAGTGCTCTCTGCGCTGTGGAAGGGCGGCCCGGCTGGAGGAGGAGCCCCCAGTGGTCCCAGGCCACTCACCAGAGGAAGCCAGCCCCGCTGAGCCCTGTCCAGGGGGCTGGGCGTGCTCCTCGGAGGTCTCGGTGTCAGACCAGTCCCAGCCATCCCCTGCCCGGGCCGCCATCCGGGGGGCAGCTTGTGGGGGCTGAAGAGACAGAGGCTTCACAGCGTCTCCTTCCGAGTCCTCCTCAGAGCTGAATGGGGACGTGGTGCTGCAGGGCCGAGGAGAAGGAATGAGAGAACGAGTGAGTGGGCATCCCCACGTGTGAGCCCTGTGCCCTCCCTCTGGCCCCGGGGACAGCCACTGGGACTGGGGGAGACACGGGGAGGAGGAGGGTAGGTTTGTCCTGGCTGGGAGCAGAGGTTCTGCAGTTCCTTACAGGAGCCCAGGCTGGACCCCTCTGGAAGCACCTCTCTGCCCCGCACCTGTGTCCAGGAGCTGTCCAGCGCCCAGGAGCCACCACCACAGCTCACCTCAGCCCAGGCCCTGGGGAAGCAGTGCTGGGAGGTCCATTGGCTCTGGGACGGGGAACAGGGGTGGACACCTGAGTGGGGCCAGGGCCACGGCTGTTGTGGGTCTGAGGAGCCGGCGTGGGCGGCTGTGCTGGCTTGGAGGGCAAGGCCACATTCAGGGTCCTGGGCTTTGGCTGGGCCTCTCTGGTGACCAGCGTGCTCCGCCGGCTTTGGACTGAAAATACAGAAAGGAATGACTTGTGGAACAAAAGGACAAGTCACTCTGCTGCCGTGTGTGTGTGTGTGTGTGTGTGTGCAGGCGCACAACAATAACTACAGCCGCTGGCCAGACTCTCGCTGGGACCTCGGGTGCAGTTTCATCAGACAGCAGGAAAGCAGCCAGGTGTTCCAGGGCCATTTGGGCCTTGCCAGAGACGAGCAGGAGGTCACGGGGCTGGAGAGGGGCCCACATGTCTGCAGCACCAGACGGGGACCTCAAGGAAGACAAGAAGCCGCTGCTGTGCAGGCAGCCTTGTAGGAAGGCCCCGCTGCCAGCAGGGGTCGCCACAGGACTACATGGACCATGAGAGCCACCGCAACCTCCTCCCACAGGCGACCTGGGGGCAAGGTGGTGCCCAAGGCAGGCAATGAGATGCAGCCTCTTTTCCAAAATGCATCAAGACCTTGTTGGGGGAAGAGGGACCTGGGAGCAGCTATTTTTTCTTTTTATAGAAAGAGGAAAGAAAAGTGTTTCACAGGACTCTAAGTACTGGCCCATGGATGGAGTGACAGTGTGAAATGCATTGCTTCCTTATAGTTCAAGGTCAGAAACGGTCACAGTTCGCTTCTCTCGGAGGATGCACTTACACAGAGCAGCTTGACGGGAAGGCAGAGGCAAAGACAAACTTGCTGAGGGCAAGCAGCCCAGCTTGTGATCCGTGCACCAGACGTGGAGCGAAGCATGTCCCCCGCCCCATCCAGGGGCCCAGAGCACCTGCAGTTGGCATGATCCTCCCCACCTCACAAGGGCTTTGACACCATAGGGGACTTGTGATTCCACGGAAGCAAGCAGGGCTGAAGCCAGGGCTCTCGGCCAGCGCCTTCCCTACATACCGCAGCCTCGCTCCAGGGTGAGAGAAGAGGCATGGACTGAGCAGAGACAGGCCGGTAGCATAGCACTCATGGGGCCTGGGAAGGGGCGTGGCCACGCAGCTGCAAGCAGAGGTTTACCAAGTGCCCTGGGCCCCAATGCTCGTCTCACGCCTCAGTGCGTGCCCATGCCAAGGCCAGGGGCAGCAGAGGAGGCGAGCCCGGGGGATTGGGGGGATCTCTCCCTCCTGGCTTTCTGACTAGAGGATGGGGCAGGGGCGTGGGGGAGAGCACCCAGATGGAGCAAGGTTCCTTTGCTTTCTCTTGGAAGCCGGCACTCCCAGGTGTTTCAGTTCATCCTCCAGGGCCCCACCCCCTCCTCTGGGTCCCACCTGCCCCGTGTGCGGCTCTATCGCATCGGCAGCCCTGAAGGTTGCCCAGGCGGAGGGGCAGGCCCTGGCACAAGGTCAACCTCAGCAAACACTGTGCTGCACGGACGCACGGATGCAGTCACAAACGAACGCCTCAGTGAGTCAGCAGAGGACACAAGGTTAAACAGAAGGGCGACGAGCAGATGAGCAAGCCCGGGTTCCGTCAGCTGTGGGCGTGGAGTGATGCCGCTGAGGGAGCAGGGCCCAGGCTCCAGCCCTGGCGCTCCTCCAACGAGTGCCCCCGCCCCGCCCCGGACTCCGCCTCCCCACACAGAACTTTCAGCCCCCCCCCCCCCCGGGGG